AAAAAAAAAAAGAAAAGTCACTTCCGTCATGCCAGGGGCACTTCCGGCAAGCCAGAGGCTTGTGTCACGTCAGGGACTTCTTGCTCCGGGGCTGCAGCTGGATACTATTGCTGAGCTGTGACTCGAAATCCGCGTCAACAACAAGCCTGTCCGGACGTGTGCATCACATTTAAGTGTCCCCTGGAAACACTTCCGTTGTGTTGCTGTCTATTTTCAGCGTGTTTTTGTAATGTGTTGTGGTCTTTGCATCGCTTTTTTCTAATGTGTTGTGTTGTGGTCTTTGCATCGCGTTTTTCTAATGTGTTGTGGTCTTTACAGCGCATTTTTCTAATGTGTTGTGTTGTGGTCTGTGCATCGTTTTTTTCAGTGTGTTGTGGTCTTTGCAGCGCGTTTTCTAAATGCTGCGCACGTGTTGTCAAATTGATGAAAATGTTTTCTAAATTTGCTTGTGTTTTGTCTTTTTGCATGTGTTTTCTTAAGTTGCAGTGGTGTGACCTTTCAGGGCCACCGTATATTTGGCTCATAGTATTGATTGATTGATTAAGCTGTGTGTTGACCTTGATGCAAAGTGTAGCGTGAGAGATAGCACTCAAGTTCTGCATGACTCAAACCACGGATCAGCAGTTCAAAGGCACAATGAACTGTGTGTGTTAAAGTCTTTCAACATTCTATTTATGGAGAGGACTGGATCTAATGGAGCATACTCGCGGTTTTATCTTATCTACAAATTGTCTTTTATGTTACCATTGATGGGTGTGAGTAACATCAAATAAGATTCAAATTTAGTCATTTATAGGAACAAATAGTAGTTATAAGTACAATCACGAAAATATGTTAAGTATAAAGTAACAAAAGTATAAGTACTCATGGGGAAAAGTTTAAAGAAATTTAATAAATCAAAATAACATATTTAAAAAAGAAAAAGCAGCAAGTACTCATGTTTGAGAAGCTGGAACCCACCACATTCTCACTGACCTAGTCACATAATGCTGCCTGGTTGAGGACTTTCAACGTTGAGAAATGACGTGCAAGGTACCCTCAGCGCATTGGTTGTTGACTTTCTGGGATGCCATGTCAACTTCAGCCTGTTACATGCATTATTTGGTTTCAAAATACACTTCTGTTTTCACAGGAAATGTACAGTTTGCATACAGTCTCTTTCCAAATAAATGCACTACGTCGGTACAACATTGCAAACTGACTTCCTTCAACCACAAATGCATGTGGTTGAATTTAGACAACAAAATCACATGGTTAGGTTAAGAAAAAAATACCAGGGTTTGGCTTTACATTCTTAGGGGAGCAAACACTGGCCTCCTGGGTGAGAAGTTAGTGGTTGTTGAACCCATCCACCACTCCTCACTTCCACCCTACTCTGACTTTTCACCCCCTTAATATACATTGTTTTTTGGCTGCATTTCCCCTGACACCTTCAGGCACCATTACACACTGACACCGGCTGTGTATCATACCTACGTGGAAGTCACTGACCAAGCACCAGGATTCTGCGACTTCAGAGAGGGAATGGGTTGTGAAACCATGAAATGTTTTTTCCATACAAAATAGTTGTTCATCAATTTTCTAATTATATATGTGTATATATATATGTATGGAGAGAGAGAGAGAGAGAGAGGGAGAGAGAGAGAGAGAGAGAGAGAGATTTGTTGTTCATATGGTTTGTGTGCAAAAATTATAAAGTAAGTAGTACTATAAAGTAACTAAACCTCAATTTAGTACTTAGTACAGTGCTTGAGTAACCTTAAACCATTATTTAGCAGAGGGATGCGAAGTAACTTAAATTACAGTAATTGGGATCAGTGGAACTAATAGTATTTCTTTATTCCACCAATTTAATGACCAAGTTATTATAATTATTCTAAAAGATATAATTAAATTCATGCATTTTTAAATTGTTCCTCAAATTTAAAACTTATGTTTCCCTCTTCTCTGTAGACTGTTAACATAGGACTTTTATTTTCTTATCTTGGTAAGAGTGCCCTTAAAATAAAGTGTATTGGGAAAATATTATGATTACAAACATTTAATATGAAACCCAACAACCATTTTTGTTGATGTACCCTTATTGTTTTAGCTGCAGCACTCTTATTACCAAAAGGAGAAAATCAACATGCCATAAATACATATAAAATTAATGAATGATTGTAACAGGTAAAATATGATTACTTTTATTTTTACTCATATTCATTTATTCATGTACTTATTTTTTTTTTACGAAATACTTTGGCAATAACATACAGTATCTTTGTTCATGCCAATAAAATTATTTGAATAGTAGTAATAGAAGTATAATATTCATGGTCACCAATATTGACTTAACATTCCTAGGCCATGGAAATAACACACTGGAAATCTTGAGTTGGGTGGTGTTCCCCTTTAAGAATAGCTGAGAATGTGTCCCTCTTTGGACATAAAAAGTAAGTCAGTCACAACACACTGGGTGTGTCAACTTTGTGTTTCAGGTTTATTAAACCACTTTTTCAGAACATCATGTAGTTTACCAATTTCTTTTTAAAAACATTACAAAACTTAGAAATGTGCACTCAGTAGAGTGCAGATCTCTGCCAGGAGGCCGCCAGAGCTGATCGCTGCCACTCTGTCCCACCAGGCTCCCTTTCAGTCAAAAAGATAACAAACTTTTCTTCTTTTTTTTGTCTTGTATCTTGCCTAACTTTAGTGAATCATATTACATCAGCCATGGAGTAAGTCTGCAGATGCTCTAGTTCAAAATGAGACCAAACTTTTCAATGGATGTCGGTTTTTGAGCCACAATGAAGACTAAAATGTGACCTGCGGATTCAGAAAGGCTTCTTGTTTTGAGCTGAGACAATTTCCAGAAATGTCTTTAACTATGTGATTTGGCTGAGGACTTGAAGCCCCGACTGGTTGCTCAAAAGGACTAAACAGTCAGTGGCAGTATAAAACATTCATTAAAACAGTTTTTTTCAATAATTATAAATCACTGCAAGTACAAGAGGTCCATGAGCATACTGTCATAAATGTGTACACAAAACATTAGGCTGATGGGTCCTGTAGTATGTGAAATTACCTGCAGGCTTACATCTGGTGGAGATAATAAACAAACCTAGTATTACACAATTGTTGAAGCCTTTGAATTCATTTGGAAATGGGAGAGAAGCCATTCTTCTAAATTCTAGTGGTGAGGAGTCTTCTGTTTTTAGATTTGGATCTCATGCTGTGTCTTCAGTGTTGTCTGATGCTATGAACGTTGAGCACAGTAGTAAAATATATCTGTATTAAAATATATTTTATTCAATGAAGAACACATACATTTCACTCATATCTGAAAGTATATCTGTAATTTTAATGTTTACAGATAAGTAGTGTTCTTGAGTAAGCTGACCCTGTGTGAACTTTGGTTGGAATTACAACAACCGAGTTAAGTTGTAAAACTCCACCTACACTCAGTCAAGTCATATCCTTATATAACCCAGTGTAGACCTTTCCACAGTAGAAATTTAAGATTATCGCAGCAGGAAAAGCCCAGCTGTAAGTGACAACATTAAAAATCACTGCTTTCCATTTACGTAAGCTAGATCCTGAGTCCTGGTATCATGCATGCCACCTCCCTGTCATGGCTTAATGGACACTTGATAGAACTGAGTCATTGTTAACCCATTCAGTTTCACATGTGCTTTTCCTGCTGTTACAAGTCAAACCGCCTGCAGAGAGAAAGGACTATGGATCTTCAAGGTTGGCTAATCAGTTCCTGAGGACTCTAAATGGGAGTCCATGACCCGGTATGATGACATCAGCGGTACGTAGTGCCTCCTGGCGGTTGACCTCCTGCACTGCAGTGTTCATACTCAAATCCCGCCAGCTGTCTTCATCTGAGCAGCACTCAAATAAGTCCCCTGCAACAAGCACTGTGCCCGCTGAGGTTTCCGTCACCTGGACGCTGACATCTTGTCCTGTGTGGCCTGGACTGGGGACTACAGTTACCTGTGGGAGAGGGGAGACACTGTCAAAGCCTAGGGGAAAACCACCAGAACATCACAAGAGGCTACAAAGCTCCGTCAAAATCTGACTCCTCTTCGTTTTCATCATATACACACACACACACACACACACACACACACACACACACACACACACACACGCATGTAGTGGTTATATGTTTTTTATTCAAAACTGGAGTCAAAAATTCCTAAGATGATTTATGTGTATGAACATATTTGTTGCACAATTTATTTCATACTTTGACATCATTTAACATGCACATTTTTCTTTTCCTGTTCATCATTATGAATTAAGACTCCATGTACATTTTTGTTAAACTTAATTTCTGAGGTCCATCCACAATTTGTACAATATAAAGCTGTCTTTCCTCAGTGTAGTGACAACCCCCTCCCTTCCACACTCTCCCTTAATTCTCTACCACCAAATTTCATTTAACACATTTAATTGAGGTGTAAAAATTATTGAAATCTGAAATTCATTGAATACATTTTATTTGGTTAAAAAAATGTTTAAGTTTAAAAAGAGAACACATTTAGCTGAGGTTAAAAATGCTCATAAGGATTTGTTAGGGATGGGTTAAGAGGTTGAGGATAAGTGTAGGGTTTGGCTTGGATAGTGTATTAGTGTAAACTTGGTGCTTTTTGCAAGCTGGCCAGTCCAGCTAGCAAAAATTGCCTGCAAAAAGCACCTGGAAAAATCCAATGATTTTATGGTTGATTATTTTATGGAGCATACAGAGCATACACAATGCATCTCTATTGCAAGGTTAGAGCAGTATAATCATGTTTCCATAAAAGGTTTGTGCTATATATATATATATATATATATAT